GGAGGAAGCCGCTTAGCTCTGCTGCGCTGCCAGTGGTGAGTGGAGCCCCCGGGCTGTTTTAAATGGCCCGGGGGCTGCGCAGGGGCGGAAGGCGGGGCCAAGGGAGAGACCCAGCCCCAAACATTGCTGGAGCTGGGCCCTGGGCCAAGAATATTCCTGGTGCTTGCTCCTGCTGCCCCCCTCCCCCCATTCCTCTATCCACTTCTCTTCCCCATCCCAGGCCCCTTCCCCTCCCCACTGCCTTCTATGCTTATGCACAACCTGCCCTGCTGTCAGTCAGTAGGCACTCATCAAGAATATGCGACAGTCTGAAGTTGATTGTCAACTTCAGACTGTCGCATATCCCCAGCCTCCGCAGCACCAGCAGCCCAGATACCACTCCAGGTGGGGGTGAAGAGAGCCAGTGAACCAAGCGATCTTGTGCCACCTCCACCCCACCAAAATAGCTATCAAACTAAGCCTATGGGGATGCCCCAGCTGGTGGCTCCTACCTGCCCCGGGCTCAACTGCTAGTCCCGGCTGGATTGGAGGTGGGGGAAAGGGGGACTTCCTCTTCCTCTGCAAAGAACAGTTGGGTCTGGGTCAGACCCAGCCCCAGAAACCTCCCCCCCCCCCGCAGGAAGCTCCACATCCCTCTCCCCTCCTGCTTCCTGCCCCCTTCACTCTTCAGCCATAGGGGGAGGGGTCACTGTATGGGGAGCTGCTCCCCCATGCATCCAGACACCCTCCCCCCAAAAAAAGCCTCACCTCCTGTACCCAGAAGCCCCCAATGAGCCCCTGTGCATTCAGATCTGCCCCCATCTGCCTGAAGCTGGACCCCCGCTGAGCTGCCCGCACCCAGATTGCTCCTCACAGAACCCTCTCATCTCACACCTGGATCCCCAGCACACTTGGATCCTGCTGGGCTGACCCTGCCTGCCCACACCTGGTGCACCTGGCATGGAGGGGCAGCGCCAGTCCTTGCACTGGGTCAGGGTCTGGGGGGAGATGAGCGGGGGGAGAGCAGGCTGCAGGGTGATTTCCCACCTCTGTGTAGCCAGTGACCTGTGCTCCCCACTGCCATGTTGGAGTCTTAACTTTTATTTATTGACAAATAAAATTTGCAGAATTTTTAATTTTTTGGCACGTAATTCCCTCAGGAGTAGTTATTATATAGGTGTGGATCCAATGGGAGCATGATTCCCTAAAGAGCAACTGCAGACATAAATATATCGGTCATTGGAGAGGTAGGGTAGAGAATGGTCTAAAGCAGTGGTTCTCAACCAGGGATATAAATACTCCTGGGGGTATGTAGAGATCTTCCAGGGGGTACATAAACTCATCTAAATATTTGCCTAGTTTTATAACAGGCTACATAATAAGTACTAGCAAAGTCAGTACAAACTAAAATTTCATACAATGACTTGTTTATACTGCTCTATATACTATACATTGAAATGTAAGTAGAGTATTTATATTCTAATTGATTTATTTTATAATTGTATGGTAAAGATTAGAAAGTAACCAATTTTTCAGTAATAGTGTGGCCATGACACTTTTTAGTATTTTGTCTGATTTTATAAGCAAGTAACTTTTAAGTGAGGTGAAACTTGGGGTATGCAGACAAATCAGACTCTTGAAAGGGGTACAATAGGCTGGAAAGGTTGAGAGCCACTGATCTAAAGACTGTAATGCATGTGAATGAATATTGCTGATGTCAGATGTAGGAATTAGTAACATTTTAACTGTATCAGTTTCAGAAAAAACATACGCACTTATCGTGAACACACGACATCCTAAGATGAGAAGACAGATAGAGCATGGTATGAACACAGTAATATCCTCAGTGTTCGGAGAAAGTTACAAACTGCGGGTGAGTCCTGGATATGTGCTGTTAATAAGATACTCAAGGCTGTTTGTGCTGAACATTAACTTTCCTTTTGGCTTGTGTGAGGCACAAACAGAAGTGGTTTCTGGAGGAAACTTGCAAATAAACAGATTTAGAATGCATGTTTTGGTATAGCCTATTCTCTTTAAATATAAACTATACAACATATATTAAAATAATAATAAAAAAAAACCAATATGGGTTCAAAGTTTAGGCACCTGCTTTGTCCTTAGCAGTGAACTGAGATGTTCTTTAGTTGCCAAACTCAAAGTTCTGTGTTTCAGATTTGTGGGTTTTTTTGTTTGTTTGTTTTTTACATTGCTAGCAAGTAAGGGTCAAATTTTGCCCTCATTTGTTTTTAATCTGATTAAACTTAAACCATTCAATGCATCCTATTGAGCAGAGGACATAAAATATTGTTGCTCTTGTGAGAGTACCCAAAAGGGTAACAGCTTCATTTGCAGGAATGAATTCTAACTTATAAAATACTGTGAACTATAACATTATACCCATCTATTTTAGTGTGGTACATAACGTGCATTGTAAGAGACCATTCAAGATGAAATGGCCAGTTATCACCTCTGCAGTCATAGGACAAGAAAGGCGTGGTTAGTGGGTTACAGATTGTTGTAATAAACCATAAATCCAGTATCTGATTACCATTGATTGTGACAGTCTGTAACCCACTAACCTCCCCTTTCTTGTGCTATGACTGCAGAGATGCTAACTGGTCATTTTACTTTGAATGGGCTCTTACATCTTGTGTTAACAACTTATGCTAAACCATCTGTTCCCCCTTGTATTTAGCTGTGACTCTCTTGAGTCCCTGTGTTCCCAAACACAGAGGAACAGCTTTGTGTAGCTCAGAAGCTTGTCTCTTTCATCAACAGAAGTTAGTCCAATAAAAGATATTCCCTCACCCATCTTGTCTCTCTAATATCTTGGGACCAACACGGCTACAACACTGCAAACAATATGTGAGCATTTAGATAGCCTACTCAGTTTAGAACTGAATTTCAGCTACATGATGTTCTCCTGCAAAGCGTGGATTTCCATCCCCACCAGGCCCTCTCCATCCCAAAAAAGGAATACAGTCTGACTAAAAGTGAGTGGAAGCATAAAGTAGCACTAGTCCATTACAGTGTAACAGAAAAAGCTGACTCAAAGGAATACATTTTGTGTAAATTACATGTCAACTTTAGTTGACATCATTTATGCCCTTCACCTCCAGATGTGTAGTCACTAAAGCCCAGATCCTAAGGTATGTAAGTGCCTAATGTCCTTTTATTTAAATGTACTTCACTTTGCAGATGGCCATGGGAGAGATTTTCAGATCTGCACTTAAGAAACACATGATCAATTAGCTAATTGCTAATAAAGGAAGTTAAGTGTCTAAATTCTTTTGAGGATCTGGGCCTAGCTAACTATATATCAGGTTACATGTTTCTTCATATCTGCAAGATAAATCAGAGATGCAGAATTATTATAGAGGGTGTTATGTGGATTGCAACATTCTCCAGAGGACTTAGAGGTCATAAAGCAATAAATGAATTACATTGAAACCTGACTGTAGCATTTTCATCTGTGACTTGTTGAGTGTTACTCTAGTATTGCTTAACATTCTGTAAAGGAAATCGTTACTCATTTTGTTCAGACCCACATTCTGAAATTTCAAACAGGGGGAAAAAAGCATATCTAATGATGAATGAACTGAAAAGTATATATCTTTTAAAAATTTCCTCTGGGATGAAAACATTGGCAGTGTTCTACTAAGTGTTTTATACCATCATGTGTGAGCAGCACTTCACAAAGCAAATTCTGTATGCAAAATGTGTGATGCTAGGTCATGCATATCAGATACTTATGCCAGGTTTACATTTTAAAAAAAAAGATTTGTTGCTATAGTTATACTGGCAAACTCCTCTATTATAGATGCAGTTGATACGGCAAAAAATGTTTTGCCAGTGCAGCTTAGACTGGTTTGGCAGACTAAATAACCTATACTGGCAGAACACTTTTGTGCTGATCTAATTGTATCTATACTGGCAAAAGCCCTAGTGTAGAAATGTCACAAAAAAATCCCATACCCAACCAACATTGCTATACTGGTAAAAGCTTCTAATGTAGGCCTGGCCTTAGACATTATTCCTAGAATTTCAGAAATATGTGCTCTGCGTGCATGAATAAATTATGTGTACTCGTGACTATTTAGATGTCTAACAGCTATTTGTGCATGTCATTTTTGCAGTTGCATGTACAATCACTGTAATTGCACATGCAAGTTTTTCATGCACACTTCTGTATATGCAATTCAGAAAATGTAGGCTCCGATAATTAGGTTTACACTCAAATATACTTTTGATAATGCTGTCCTTTGGTAGGAAGACCATTAATATCCTTTCAGGTAAGAGAATTTCTAAGAAGTACCTGGTATATTTTGTGCTGTAAAGCCAGAATGAGGCACTAGGAAATAATCTATCCCCCAAAATACGATTAGCTAATTGATCATGTGTTTCTGAAGTACAGATCTGAAAATCTCTCCCATGGCCATCTGCAACGTGAAGTACATATTTATGAAAGGGTAAAATCTGGTTGGTAATAGGCAATCTTCATGTTATACAGAAGTCTGCCGAAATGTGTAGTTTCAGCACATTTTTTACTGAGAAAACCATGATATAGCCGTGTCAAGGCTGCTTCCCCACTTTGAACTTTAGGGTACAAATGTGGGGGCCTGCATGAAAACTTCTAAGCTTAAGTACCAGCTTAGATCTGGTCCGCTGCCACCATCCCAAAGCTGATTCCCTTCCCTGGGTAGGCTTGAGAGACCTTCACCAATTCCCTGGTGAATACAGATCCAACCCCCTTGGATCTTAAAACAAGGAGAAATCAATCAGGTTCTTAAAAAGAAGGCTTTTAATTAAAGAAAAAGGTAAAAATCATCTCTGTAAAATCAGTATGGAAAATAACTTTACAGGGTAATCAAACTTAAAGAGCTCAGAGGACCCGCCTCTAGTCTCAGGTTCAAAGTACAGCAAACAGAGATAAACACTCTAGTAAAAAGTACATTTACAAGTTGAGAAAACAAAGTAAAACTAACACGCCTTGCCTGGCTGTTTACTTACAAGTTTGAAATAGGAGAGACGTGTTTAGAAAGATGTGGAGAACCTGGATTGATGTCTGGTCCCTCTCAGTCCCAAGAGCGAACAACCCCCAAAACAAAGAGCACAAACCAAAGCCTTCCCCCGCCGCGCCCCCCCCCCCAAGATTTGAAAGTATCTTGTCCCCTTATTGGTCCTTTGGGTCAGGTGTCAGCCAGGTTACCCGAGCTTCTTAACCCTTTACAGGTAAAAGGATTTTGGAGTCTCTGGCCAGGAGGGATTTTATAGTACTGTACACAGGAGAGCTGTTACCCTTCCCTTTATAGTTATGACAAGCTGTGAGCATGGAATTTGAGCTTTAACTTGAATTTTTTTGCTTCTGTAAGATTAGACCCTTGTCAGGCTAATGTAGTTTTCACCCTTCAGTCTCGTCTTCATGGCACAAAAAATCTAGGATAATTGTAGTTTGTCAGGTTAACATTTTAAGGATGAGGAGGAAATGACAATACAAGTATAGGCCATCTCTGGGGGGCAAAAAGGAACTATAATCATAGGAGTTTAGTATTCAAACATCTCTTCATTGAAGTCCCTTGCCCATTATATAAAGTTTATTTGAAAGCATCACTGCACCTGCTAGTATCACTAGGATCACTGCTTTGACACTTCTCCCTCTTTCCCCCCCCATCACAAGGAAAGGAGGGGGAAAGTGAGTCAAATGTCAAAGCAGTGACGCTAGTGATAGACAGCTGTGTGGTATGGGGATTAGAATGCTGCAGGTCTCCATATCTGCAACTGCAGATTGAAATTCTATGGGTAAGTTTTTTGTTTTGTTTTTTAAATAGGATGTCACATCTAAAGTATAAGTTGTAAGCTCTTTGACGCAGAGATCATGCCTTACATGATTTAAACATTTAACTATATATAATTTTTTTTTTTTTTTTCCCCCAGTTTGATTTCCAAGAAGTTGTCAAGAATTTTTTCCCTCCAGGAAGCCATTTAGTTACCGGAGAAGACTTGAGCTTTTCCTATGAGTTCAAATCTGATGCCCTGTTTGATTTCTTCTATTGGTTTGGGATCAGCAAAAACACAGTTGCAGTGACTGGGAAAGTTTTGAATTTGTCCAATACCACTCCAGAAAAGAAAGAAATAAGCACTATGTTTCTAGAAAAAATGGGTGAACCTTATGTCCGTTTGAACAGTTTTTCAGACCGAAAATTCAGTGTTACCTCAAGAGGTAGGTTGATATCAGACAAGACAAAAACCTACTGTTACTGCTTTTTAATATACTATAACTCAACTCCAATTATTTGAACTCTGATTATCTAAAATCAGGATTATACAAAATTCAGAAATGTCCCCTGAAACACATTCTGGGTTTCTGAAATTCCATTTTTTTTAACCAGCAATTTTAAATGTCTCCTACATCATTTCAATAATTTGTGTGTACCTTCAGTTATAGGTGAAGCTGTGCAGTGAGCAATGTAAAACCATCTTCATTTAGCATATCTTTATGACATAGAGAATGATTTTGTCATATACAACACAGGGCTTTGAAAAACCAAGCTCAGATAATATTTACTCAACACTTTTCCTGCTTTAACCCATGCACATATCATTAAAATCACTTGTATCACAGCCAGAATTAGAGTGCAAGTTATTTGGCGGGGAGGGGGGAAATCATGTAATTAATTTGGGCTGTAAAGGAATTTGCACATTTTTTTGGTGTTGCATAAATAATTATCTAAATCCAATAACCAAATGCCTCCTAACCATTTGTCAACTAGTTTGTAAAAAAAAATTTCATTGCTATAAGACTAAATTTGTAAAAATGTTCACCCAAGTTGAGTGCATACAGTAGTTAATTGTCCATGCTATTGGCAGGTTCTTTGTCTCCTCTGCAATTTTTTTCAAAATGTCCTGCTTTTTTTACATGATGGCATGACTTGTGCACACACACATATGCAACCCACAATGTCAGCTGTAGACAGCTGAAATAAAACTTTTTTTTTTGTTATTTACCGCAACTGGCTGTCCACGTGCTTTTTTATTGTTTTTCTTTTTTTTTTGTTGGTTTTTTTTTTTGTAGGTTATTATGATTAAGATTTTTAAAACATGATACTTAAGAATACTCTGTGGTTTTTAAAAGAAAAATAGAAATGGATGGGAGCTTCTGCCCTAGGTTATTTTGAGGGACTGGCTGTCCCCATCTCCTCTCCTCTTGCTTCCTTTATCTCCTCTCCACCTTTTCTTTTTTTCTTGTACCTTATTTTCCTCTCATCTGTTCTTTACTACCTTTCCCAATTTCATCTTTCCCTCCTGTTCTCTCCCCCTTCTTTATACTCTTCTCAGCCTCCCCCACTTTTCTTTAAAAATAAGCTCTTTAACTCTACAGTGGTTATAATATGTCTCCAAAACCAACAGGAGGATAAGGAAGAGGAGATGGGAGAGAAGCAGCTCCACTTTTTTGCCAATTTGTAACTAACACTGTGACAAACTAATGCTCCTGCTCATAATGCACAAATAAAACTACGCCCCCATCTTCCTGCATTGTCCAGTGCTCTAGCCTTGGTTACATCCCAACTATGCTAAACCTTCTAACCTTGTTGTAAATGTGTCCCGAGCTTGGTTACAACTGAAAAGTGAACAGGGCCTAAAGTCTCCTCTGTATTATCCCCACGGCACAGTTAAAACATTCCATTTTGTGGTGTACATGGGAATTTAACCATACCCCTAAACTGTGCTAAAGTCAAAGGTCCCATCTATGACAGACAAACAGTTTTAACAGTTGTAATTAAATTCATTAGCATATTGACTTGTCTTTTCTAACACATTTTGGAGCTTGGCCTGTGAACATTGTGCTGAACCATATTCTAATCAGGCTAAAATTATATTATCTAGAGAATTTTGCCTAATTCCCTTGAACAGTTTTTGAATCTGGCTAGAACATGGCCCAGATATAGCCACAGTTCAGCCTGGTCTATTAGAATGTGGGCTGAGATGCAACAGAACTTAATAACCATTGTCAAACTTGTGTGTTTTCTTTGAGGACCTCTGGATATTCCCACTTGTGGGATCTGGCACCTCTGGCACTGAACTACCTTGAAAAGCTGTACACTCTTGTATGTAGAGTAGGGTGACGGCATCACCATCTCACAGGAACACTCAGGCCTGGTCTACACTAGGACTTTAATTCGGATTTAGCTGCCTTAATCCGAATTAACCCTTCACCCGTCCACACTACAGAGCCAGTTAATTCGAATTAAAGGGCCCTTTAAATCGATTTCTGTACTCCACCTCGACGAACGGAGTAGAGCCTAAATCGATTTTGTTAATTCGAATTAGGGTTAGTGTGGACGCACACCACCGAATTACTGTGTTTAAGTTAATGGGGTAGTGTGGCCGCACACCACCGAATTAATGTGGTTTAAAACCGAATTAAGGTGCTTAGTGTGGCCGCGCACAATCGAATTTATACAACCTGTTTCCCAAATTCGAATTATCTAAATTCGGATTAATCCTGTAGTGTAGACATACCCTCAGGGAATCCCCAACAGATGTGGCTTTTCAAGGCAGTTGTGCAGCTCAGCAATTCAGTGGTGCCAAATCCCACAAGTTGTGAATACACAGAGGCAACTCTTGAACAATTACTGGTAAGCAACCTTTCTTTATAGAGGAGATGAGCCTTTAAATATGTGAAATACTGCTAATTGTCCAGCAAAGGCTCTTTATCCCAAGAAGGGAAAAATTTTCCCTTCCTCTTAACATTCAGTGGGAGTTGGGTGTCTAGCTGCCCTGTGTGCCTCTGAAAATCTCCCTTAATCTCCTTTTTGGTACTCTAGAGCACTCCACTTCTTTACTCTTCAAACTTGTAACTAAACCACTTCTTGCTCATGCTTTGGTGGTGGGCATTACTATTTTGTTTATTTCCTAGTAGGCCTGTTGTAAACCATGCTCTTCTTACTATTTTTCAGATTCGATAGATGGTTTTAACTGCAGTCTGACACCACAGCCATCTTTAACAAATCCTCTTGTGAGAGTATGTTGAACCCCAAGAGTTCAAGAATCAGAAGGAAGACCAACAAAATTCATGAAATTGGTATAAAAATCATAAGACTTTCAAGTGAGAATGCAAATGCACATCAATGCATTGCAGGAGTGAGAAGTTTGAGAAGGGAGGAGTGAGGCAGCTGTTCCTTGTTTGTGTCTAGGATACCAGGAAGGGATTCTACTCTATTCTTTACTCTTCCATCCCCCAACATCATCCTGTTTCTTTTGAAATGGGCATCTCCATGGGAAGCAGAGTAGTCAGTGGGTATTGTGTAGCTCCTCTTTTCCTCTTTCCATAACACCAAGTCTGGTTGCTTACCACTGCAACACTTGGAGGCCTTGGCTACACTGGCGCTGTACAGCGCTGCAACTTGCTGCGCTCAGGGGTGTGAAAACGCCCCCCGCCCCCAAGCACAGCGAGTGCAGCGCTGTAAAGCGCCAGTGTGATCAGAGTGTGATCAGTGCTGCATGCTCACTCGCAGTGCTGCAAGCTACTCCCCTCAGAGAGGTGGAGTACTTGCAGCGCTGTGAGAGAGCTCTCGCAGCGCTGGTGGCGTGACTACACTCGCGGCAGCGCTGTGAATTCCTGAGTGTAGCCAAGGCCTCAGTACAGAACTCTTCTGTGATTGCTACTTCACTTGCTTTGCCTAAACTCAGATGGTGAGGTGATTAGCATGGTTCTCCTGAAGACTTGGCAATGTGAGAATAGGTCTCAAATTGTTGGTTAGGAAACGGTTATCACAGTGTTTCAATAAAGATCCAAGTTAGGCTCTGTTATCACTGGCTGTGGAATCATGTTTAAACACCTTTTTGCTGCAACTTCTTCTGAACTTTCTTACAACACTGGCCAAACTATGTTAAGCCAAAGAATCTTCATTAAAAAATGTTTAAAACTATTCCTTGATCCCTGTCCACACAAGTAAGCCTAGCAGAGTTATAAACTAGTTTTGCTACCATCTGTTTTGATCTATGTTTAAATGTATTTTTAAACACTTTTCTGAGGCCAGTGAGGACTTAAGGACTGACAAGGCTGTTGTGAATCTAGAAGCTGGGTATAGTATCCAAGATTGTTTTCTAACTGTTGATCTAGAAGTTTTTTGGGGGGAAAAAATAGAATCTTGTGGTTAAGGCAGAGGACAGGGAATCAGAAGATCTAAATTCTGTTCCCACCTCAGTCACATGCTGTTTAACCTCTCTGTGCATCTATTTCCAAAAATATGTAAAATGGGGAAAACCATTTAATCTATCTCTCAGGAGTGTTGAGGCTTCATTGATGTTTGTAAAGCCCTTTCAGAGCCTCCTACAGGAGGTGCTAAATGAGTCCAATGTTGCTATACTTGTACTTTTTTTTAAAGTGGTCTGGGTATGCTGCTATCTCCCTTGGAGATGACTGAAATCTGAGACTACAAGTTATGCCTTGAATCAAGTACACTATCATCTTCTGGCACACTAAATCAGTTAGTAAAAATCTTAAACTTCAATACTGTTACTTAAATCACCGTGTGTTTTGTTACTTAAAATGTTTTCCACTTACTGCCATTCTTTGAGGTTAAAAAAAAATTCAGTATAAAACCCATCAGTAGTAATGAATCTCTTTCCAAAGGAGGCTTTAACACAAAACAAGGCTGTACATTCACTTTATCTCTCTTAGTTTGAGATTTTTAGCTGTAATTTGTTTGGTTTTGATGTCTTCATTTATCATGTGCATTTTACTGGTAGTATTTAAAGTGTCAGATGTGTCATGACTTTCAAAACTTTTAAAAATCAGCCACTGTTAATGGTTGAGCCATACATCGTCTCCCCCATTGAATAATTGATCATGGAAGAACTTCTTGAGAAACAGATGCATACAGTACACATGGCTCCTGAGGTTAAAATGATTGACATTCTTGATGACATGGTGGAAGACTAAATTTGTACACACTTCCAGATATTGGTGAGAATCCACATTGTCATAGACACTGGAAGCGCCCTGGTAATTACTTTGATTCATAAAGAAAGACTTATGGTAGCTGAGAACTTGCCACAAAATTCTTCTTTCTTTCCAGAATACCTGTAAAGCAGGCCTTGGAGACTATATTAATAGCAATCTTACATCTTGCAAAGTTTAGACTGAATAACTTATGAAAAATGGGATTTTGAAGATGCTTTTAATTTTTCAATTATGCAATTTGACAGAGTGGCAGCTGGCTTGGTGACTAATTTTTTTCTATATGTATGGTGTCTGAGTAAAACTGACTTTAGTAATCAACCTAATATACCATATCCTTTATAATCAACATTATAATGAAGTTCTTCTGTATTTTACTGCTGGCCTTTGTGTACTTTTATTAAGCTCATGTATACTGTACAGTAGTCTTTTTTTACTCTGTTTGAAGCTGTCTACTGTATATACTTGCTCAAACACCTTAATTTTGCTTGTTCAGAAAAAATCCTATGAGGAGTGGAATAATACTCATATTGTTAGAATACAGCATTAAATTTTGCTGGAATCCGCCTTCTAAAGGGACTAGTCAAACTTTAAATATCTTGTAAACTTATTTTAGACATTTTCTAATATTGCATTGTATAGGACCACACAACTATTTTGTACTTTTTTTGTACTTCTGTTTAAAATAGGTTATTTCCAGTTCTAAAGATTTGTTTTTAATGTATGATTCTACCTGTGCAGGCATGTGCCAAAACTGGGGCTGTCAAGCGATTAAAAAATTAATTGAACTGTTTAAATAGTATTCTATTGTTGTTTTTTGATGTTTACATTTTCAAATATTGATTTGAATTACAACACAAGTGAACAGTACTCACTTTATTATAATTTGCACTGTAAAAAAACATTTTTCAATTCACCCAATACAAGCACTGTAGGGCAATCGCTTTATCATGAAAGTTGAACTTACAAATGTAGAATTACAAATAAAACTGCATTCAAAAATAAAACTAAAGTTTTAGAGCCCACAAGTCCACTCAGTCCTAATTGTTCAGCCAATCGCTAAGACAAACAAGTTTGTTTACATTTACAGGAGATAATGATGCCGGCTTCTAGTTTACATCACCTGAAAGCTAGAACAGGCGTTCTAATGGTATTGTTGTAGCCAGCGTTGCAAGATATGAATCTTTAGCACATCTGGCACATAAATATCTCCCTTCATGCTTCAACCACCATTCCAGGGGACATGCGTTTATGCTGATGACGGGTTCTGTTCGATAACAATCCAAAGCATTGTGGACCAATGCATGTTCATTTTCATTATCTGAGTCAGATGCCACCAGCAGAAGGTTGATTTTCTTTTTTGGTGGTTCGGGTTCTGTAGTTTCCACATTAGAGTGTTGCTCTTAAGACTTCTGAAGGCATTCTTCACACCTCATCCCTCTCAGATTTTGGAAGGCACTTCAGATTCTTAAACCTTAGGTCAAGTGCTGTAGAAATCTCACATTGGTACCTTCTTTGCGTTTTGTCAAATCTGCAGTGAAAGTGTTTTTTAAAATGAACATGTGGTGGATCATCATCTGAGACTCCTATAACATGAAATATATGGCAGAATGTGGATAAAATAGAGTGGGGACATACAAATCTCCCCCAAGGAACTCAGTCACAACTTAAAAAATAATGTGTTAATTAAACAAGTGTCATCAGCATGAAAGAATGTCCTCTGGAGTGGTGACTGAAGCATGAAGGGGCATACAAATGCTTAGCATATGTGGCACATAAATACCTTGCAACACCAGCTACAAAAGTGCCATGCAAATGCCTGTTCTCACTTTTCTGGTGATCTTGTAAATAAGAGGGCAGCATTTTTAAATTGGTGTTTGCAACCTTATTTTCTGTACTTGATAGCTAATGGATGGCAGTGGTTAATTTGCTGTATTGGTTCCATTATATGACACACAAGGCAGGTAAGGTAGTAATTTTTTTTTTTAATTGGACCAACTGTCAATGAAAGAGACAAGCTTTTGAGCTACATAGAGCTCTTCAGGAATTTGTCAAGGGTGAGGAACAAGAGGGTTGAGTCCTAACAAATAGGAAGTAGGAGTATTTATCATTAGTTGGCTGAAGGATTTAATTACTAATTCTGCCAGTGCCAGCAGTAGGTGGGAGGAACCTCCAGTAGGTGTACTTTCAGTTCCCAAATCCTAACAAATGGTCTGAAGTTAAAAGCAGCCATGCACAAATCTATTAAAAGAGCAGGAAACCGACAGTTCTAATGACTGTCCTAACTAGTTCTAGAAAACAAGGACATAGTACTAGAATATCTTCCTCTACCACATTCAAAAATGTCCTTATTTTTAAAACTTTTGATAAGTACTGCACCAAAATGTTTTATCCAACAGTACTAGCTCTCATGTTGTAGTGCAACTAATGGGGATAGATAGCACCTTTAATGTCTAATTAAAAAAAAAAAGTCAACTTAGGCTTAAGTTGTCCCTTCAAAGGTTATAAGAAAGAAGGGCACATTTGAAGTTTTTCTGCCCCTTTTCACAGGAGAGAGAGAGAGAGAAGCTAAGACAGCAGTTTTGCTGCTGGTAAAAAAATTGAAAAATTTAGTACATAAGCCAATCAGAAAAGAGGAATTGTAGCTGCTAAATTGAGTAAATCAGTTGCAGTATAGTTAAAACAAGCATCCAGGGACAGTGGATACCTTTTACTCACAATGCTTAATACCTTACCGTTTGGCTAGTTCCAATTGCACTGGGACACTAGTGGCAAAGTATTAAAGAGTAAGAATACCACAATCAAACCCTCAGTGATTATGTAACACTTACACACTGAATAACAATCATCATTAGCTAGAGCACTGAGATTTGGATACTGTATGGCTACTGAGAAATAATTCTATGAATAGGCAAATCAGAGAGCCAGAACCAGAGTGCAAGACACTGATGGAATAATGTCACATGTAATTGGTCTGTCACTAAAACAGATCTAAATTAAATGTTATATTGTTTACTGGAGCTGTACTTAACAAAAAATACACACAACCAAGGACAAGCCCTCTGCTTCATATTCACAGAGCCGCATTAAGTGTTAAACTGCACTTGTATTGCTCTGGGCAGTTTTCTGAAAACTGGCATTTCTGATCCCACTACCTTGGTCATGTAATATTGGTGACATTGGCATTGGTGGCAATGTAAGAGATCATAAGGTAGTTTCCTTGGTTTTGTATTACTCTTTACCTTAAAAGATAATTAAAATGTTTACAATAATTTCAATATTTAAGTAGGATATTTTTATAATCTTAGATTCCCATACCACTTCTATCACAGATTTAACTATACATAAGAAAAGTTGCTACCAACAGCAGTCACATGAATGCCATCTTTGCTTAAATTTTATTTTCATGTGAATTTTTTATTTCATAAACTTTCATAAAAGTAGACAGTGTAAAAGTGTTTTCTATTCAAGAA